ATACATAAATAACTTCTAACCCACTATTGTATACAAAAGATTTACCCTTAATCCACCCATAAATTCCATCACCTTAGCTGTGCTGGCACTTGTCGTAAGATAATGATTATGCATGTTATTACCCTCTAACAACCCACCTGGTGTGGGTATGGCCAATCATCTTGTGGCCTTCACTCTTGGGACATTAATCCAATGCTTTGAATGGGAAAGAGTCGGTGAGGAAAAGGTTGATATGACTGAAGGCAAAGGGATCACAATGCCTAAAGTTAAGTCGCTGGAGGCACTCTGTGTAGCTCGCCCAGTCGTGAAGAACATTGTTTCATGAAGAAACCCTCCCCTCTAATATAAAAGAATCATTTATCCTTCCACTAAAGAGAGACTTAGTGAAAAACCCATATTACCACCACCTGAACATTGAACAACCGCCCACTAATTGCTTCCTTTCTTCTCATTCTGTTAGACCCATTACAAAGAGAAAGGTCTTACCTTAACTAACTGTCTTCTTCTAATTTTCCTCTACTTATGCAACCGACCCAGGATGATAACAATATAATAGATAGCAATGAGGAAAAGGGAAGCTATGAGAAGTTTTTTGCATGTCTCTCTCTCTCTCTCTCTCTCTCTCTCTCTGGCATTCAAAGAGGATGGATGGATGAAATGAGAAATGCCTGCCACTCCTTCCCTTCTAAGCTAACCCATCCACCTCCTAAATCATTCAATTCCTGCAACAATAGTTGCTACATGTTCACTTTATATTTTGGTTTGGGAAGGGGAGCTTCTGCCTGTCAGCAACCAGAGATGTCCAAGGTAATAACTCCTCTCCCTTGCCTTAGTGGAACTTACTCGGTTTCCCTTAACCAAATGAGGTTGGCTCTTTTCCCACTCCCCTACACTTAACCAAATTCAAATACATGTCAAGGGAGATTGTAACATAACAATATAATTTCTTTTTTTTATTCTAATTTATTACGATGATTTTCCTATTATTTGTAATCTTAGGTAAATAACTAGTCTCGAAATACGTTCGTCACCATCACTGAGCACTAGTTAATCAAATGTGGCACATATTTAAATCCTTACTCATGACATAGACGTAATTAAACAGTTTAAGAAAGAGCAGGTGTGACAAGTACCACATGATTAAGCTTCATAGGCACAACATCACAAAGAATCTGATCTTCGTAAGACCCGATTTTGATCTCCAAAATCACTTGTTCAATCACATACACAAAGGCATCCTCCATCGACAATCGCAATAAGAAAGGGCTAGGATGTTGTTGTGTAGTTAGCCCTAACTTACCTACTGCCCTTGAACTGATCAAATTGTATTTGATCTCTCCATCAACAACCACAGAACAAAATTTCTCTTGAACCAAACAACGAGAGTAGAACAGATTACCTTGCCCTAACTTTTCTGCCATTGTCGGAGCTTGCAGAAAGCTTGTACTCTTCTTCTCTTGTCCAATGATTTGAAACAGGCTCTGATGCCACTTGATACAACCCTGGGGTGTTGGATTTTTATCAAAGTACACAACAAAACAATCAATCCAAGAATTGGATTGATTAAAATGAATCTCGAACAAAAAACGTATGTTCTAGGGTGTTTGGGATAAAACAGAATCAAACGTGCAAGTCCACACCTGGGGAAAGGCTCGATTGATATAAGGAATTTTCCCAACCATGATTGAAGTGACTATTCAATCGATACAAGAGCTCACGAGCTTGGAATCCACCAAAACTCCCACAAGTACGCAAACTTGCAACTAGTAAACACTAGGGTTTTAATTCATCAAATTATGTATTTTACAACGAAAAAGAAATGTAATTAAAGGCAAATAAAACCTAATACAATCCTAAAATAACAAGAAACAATTCAATTAAAAGACTAATCTAAAAATGTTACAATTTTCAGACTCAAAGTCTCTTTCTTGAAGCACAAGCTGCCAGCAAATAGTCCAAACACAACTTTCGTACTTACTTCGTGCCTGTCATTCGAAGTCTTCCAAATATCAAATCTTTCATCCAATTCCTTCCCTTGGTAGATAAACATACCTATTTTCATGTTGTGGAAGCCTTTGGACTCGAATCAGATCCATGCTCATTGAATTGAGCTCCAAAGTAGGCTTCACAAACCAGTTTTTAGCCATTTTCAGACAGTTTTCAGCTTTCCATATAGCATCTTTGGAAGTCTGGAAAATGGACTTAATGGCTTCTTATGGATCCATAAACCATGCCATCTTGTGGAGGGAAACTTTATCTTCAAAACAAACTCTCAACATCGAATTTCCAGTGATCCAATTGTGAGAACCAAGCCTCCAAAGTAGGTACCATGAACTCGAAAAATGACTTAGCCAAATTCTGCCTTTCTTCTTCCCAACTTTGGTAGCTTATTCGTCAAGTAATTGTGACGTGAAGGGTTGAAATTTTGGGATCATATGAGCTTTCTAGTAAGAGATTTAAAATTAGTAGAAAGGCTGCAAGCATAGATGACACATTTCTCGAATGATTGTTCTCCTGTATATTTGAAAAATATTCCGCATATTTATTTCTTATATTTGACTTATTTTATAGAGATTTTCACTTTCCTTCAAATTCTAAGTTTTCTTGTTTTTATCCTATAATTGTCTTGTGATGGATCAACTTTGTTGCTATTGTTATAATGAAGATGCTCAAAAAGTATAGTATATTTGTTATACAATTATCCATCTTCAACGTACATAAATCTCATATTATCGCTTTTGTGGATTTTAATTCCATAAGAGTTAAAAAATGGTATTTTTTTTTTGTTTTAGCTTATAATCTGCGTAGGGATTTGGTTGCCCACAATTGATAGATGTTGCATCACTATAAAAGACAATTTTATATTGTTGGTCTCCTATTGTTCATTATTTTCCTAATGAAAGTATAAGGTCACTATGTTATCTGGTCGACTGTTCGCCGAAAGCGGAGATCATTTGACGAAGATATATGTAGACCATTTTGCGGGATAGGTAGGATGTTTTGGCGGAAGCGGTCTACCTCCTCCAACAAGCTATTGTAAGTTAAAGGTAAGTGTGTCACAACTCAACCCATTGCGAGAAGCGGTAGACCACTGCCTCGAGTGGTATACCACTTGGTGGAAGAGGTCAACCACTTAAGGTATCTGTGTCATGAGGTTAACCCATTTCCGAAGCGGTAGACCGGTTGACTCAAGTGGTAGACCACTTGGTGGAAGAGGTCGACCATTTTCTTGGAAAGTGGTCGATCACTTGGTGGAAGAGGTCGACCACTTGAAGGTAAGTGTGTCATCAGGTTGACCCATTTTCGGAAGTTGTAGACCGGATGACTCAAGTGGCAGATCATTTGTGGAAGATGTCGACCATTTTCTTGGAAAGTGGTCGACCACTTGGTGGAAGAGGTCAACCGCTTGAAGGTAAGTGTGTCATTAGGTCAACCCATTTCTGAAAGTGGTAGATCGGATGACTCAAGTGGTAGACCACTTTGTGGAGGAAGTTGACTATTTTCTTGAAAAAGTGGTTAACCACTTATTGGAAGAGGTCTACCGTTTTCTTCAAGTTACAGTGACTTGCAAGTAGGGATGGCAAAAAAACCCGAACCCACGGGCACCCTACCCGACCCAAACCGGTCAACGCGGGTAAAACCTTTGTTGACGGGTTTTGGGCCGGGTTTGGGTTTAAACGAGCTACACCATCACCGGGTTGGGTTGGGTTGGGTTTGGGTTTAGGCAAACCCGCCCCATGGGTACCCGCCCACACTCATATAATTAATTTTTTCGGTAGATTTAATATTCTAAACAATATATCTTCCTTAAACAACTAATCTTCTTTATGTTTGTGGAGGCATATCTAATTTGTTCGTTCTAATTGTGTACGATGAAGTTGATATTATGGAGTGGAGAGTGAAGAAGCTTAGTTGACAAGGTGGAAGGAGCTGTCAATTAATCATGTTATTTATAGGTGTTCATCTTTAATTTTGAACAATTTGTACTGATAATTTGCGGTTTGCTTGTATGCTCTAGATTGCTTGTATGGATAATTTTTATGAGAAAATTGATGTTAGACTTTTACTTCGAAGAAATTTGTTATTGTAAATTTTTCACCGCAAAAATCCACAGGTACCCATGAACCCGCGAATACCCAGCAGGTTGGGTTGGGTTTGAGTTTTTCAAACCCAACAAATTTTACCCCGGGTTTTTTTGGCGGACCCATTGCCATCCCTACTTGCAAGTCACCGTAGGCATACCCATTTTATGCCATTCACAGAAAATTACATTGGTGTCTTCTTTTCTATTTGGCTTAGGTCATTTTCAGTTTTCAAATTGAAAAATAATGGGTAATTTACCTGATATTTTGGCGAAGTGAACTAGGCCACTAGGGGACATTAGATTTTACTTGCTTACTAACCTTATGATAGCTGCAGCGACAGTGAAAGTTTGAAAGTTGCAGATCCAATGTTTGAATCCAACTGAGACCCGTTGGCGTTGAATTGATTGAAGGTAACTCATATATTTAGTAGGTCCCGTTGTCACAAAATGTTACGTGGGGCTAACGTTCCAGATAATAATAATAATAATAAAAAAACAGTGATACTTGGGAATTAATAAAGAATCAAAAGATGGTCGGCCATAAGGGGGGACCTTTATTTTTCCAAATAACTTGATTTGGGCAAAAAGTAATTTAACTTCATCTTGAAATGAAGTTCACGTAGTTGCAGATGCTGCGGCGTAGCAACTGCCATAGGTAGTGGGTCGTGTATCTATTCTAGAGATGGTGGAAGAATCGCATCGAACGCACATGGTTTGCAGCTACCGTGTATTCTAGCTCGATACTTAGCGGCCAGCTAGCTAGCTAGCTAGCGACTATCTATATAAATAACAGTTGAATTAAGCTAAGGACATCCGAGATTGAGCTGAGTTGAGATAAGAGATGGATGCAGCAACCGAAGGGTCAGCGTCGAGCTCATTATTGGGTAGGCTGGAAATCCAACAGCGGCAACAGATGATGCGTAGTAGACGACCGTGCGTGAAGCATTTCAGCCACTCCCACCCGCTGCGACCCGTCGAGGTGAAAGAGGAAGAAGAGTTGATCTGCAGCGGCTGTGAGCTGGATCTCTCAGGTTCAGCTTACAGGTGCCGCAAGTCGTCTAGCTGCTGCGACGACTTCTATCTTCACAGATCATGCTTCGAGTTGCCAAAGGTGCTTCAACTCCCCATGGATCATGTCTCTGGCCATCAGCACCCGCTGCTTCTACTTGACACCCCACCTAAAGAAGATGATGACGATGAGTACCCCAAGTTCGTATGCAACGCCTGCGGCGACTATGGCACAGGTTTCACCTACCGCTGCTCCAGCACCAGCTGCCAGTCCTTCAATCTCCATGTTACATGTGCTTTCCTGCCCAACACCATAAAGCATGTTGACCACCAGCACCCGCTCAGCCTATTCTCTTCCTCCACCTCCCTAGAGATCAAAGGAATTAGCAGCAGCAGCTCATCCTCCTCCATCTTCACCTGTGACGTATGCAGGAAACAAGTCCCTCAAAATTGCTGGATCTACTACTGCTCTGAATGCGACTATGGCACAGATCTTGCTTGCACCACCACCACCAACAACAACACATATTCCGTCCTTCCTGCTGGAGGAGGTGGACGCATACAATAAGACACATCATGTGCCCGTCCTGCCTCTACTCTTGGTCTTGGCTTAAGTTAATTATTATTTAATGTTGCAATATTATTAATTCAAATTACATAATACCATGTCTTGGCATCACCCTATTAATTCCAATCAAATTGTTAACGTCTATCTGGTGGTCTCCTTTTACTACTGAAGAAAAATAGTTCATGTTTAGAATGTAAGATCTATGATCATCAATATAAGATTTGCGAATTCCGAATTGTGATCGAATATTTTAAAAAGTCAATAGTCAAGGTGTAAGGTTTCCAACCAAAAGCTGAAAAAATATACGAAAATAAGACTTATTTTAATTATTCCATTGTGTTGTTATTGTAACAACACTAGTCCCCAACCAATAGGAAGATAGGATTGTGATGACTTTTTATTAGATGAGTTGACCTAGTGTAAAATCAAAGCAGGGGTATAATTGTCATTATGAAAAATCTATTTAAATAAAAAAAATATATATATTTTTTATTTTCTGCCAAAAAATTTGGTCGCCGGAATTCTGCCACCGGTCGCGGTCACCGGAATATGTTTTTTGTCGCCGGAATATGCTTTTTTGTGGCCGGAATATGCTTACCGGCGTCGGAATCTAGTCATCGGGGCCGGAATATGCCTATCGGCGTCGGAATCTGCTCACTGACGGTCACCGGAGTTCGGTCAACAGTCTTCGTTGACCGGTCAACGATCACCGGATGTTATGGTTAGCATTGTGAGATTTATAGTTTGGTTTCTCATATTTTTTTATGCCTATTACGGTTTGCTTTATCGTGTTTCTGGTTTGCATTGAGAAGTTTCTGGTTTGCTTTCAAAAACTTTGTGGTTTGCATTGTGAGGTTTCTGGTTTGTTTTAATATATTTGTGGTCTGCATTAGGACGTTTATGGTTTGCTTATTTGAGGTTTGATTTACTGTGTTTCTGGTTTGCATTAGGAGGTTTCTAGTGTGCTTTCGCAAATGTTGTGGTTTGCTTTGTGAGGTTTGTGGTCTGTTTTAGGAGATTTATGGCATGCATTAGGACGTTTATGGTTTGCATTAAGAAGTTTCTGGCGTGCTTTCGAAACTTTTGTGGTTTGCTTTGCGAGATTTCTGGTTTGTTTTAATATATTTGTGGTATGCACTAGGACGTTTATAGTTTGTTTTTTGTGGTTTGCTTTGCAGTGTTCATGGTTTGTATTATGAGGTTTCTGGTGTGCTTTCAAAATATTTGTGGTTTGCTTTGTGCGGTTTCTGGTATGTTTTAGAGAATTTGTGGTTTGCATTAGAAAGTTTTTGGTATGCTTTTTGTGGTTTGCATTAAGAAGTTTATGGTGTGCTTTCGAAAATTTTATGGTTTGATTTGTGGGGTTTCTGGTTTGTTTTGTGAGGTTACTAGTTTATTTTAGAAAACTTGTGGTCTGCATTAAAAAGTTTACGGTATGCTTTTTTTGGATTGTTTTACTGTGTTCGTGGTTTGTATTGAGAAATTTATGGTATTTTTTCATATGTTTCAGGACATTTGTGGTACTTTTAGATAATTCTAATTTCATTTATCGTAAATTCATTTTAACATATTACAACGTCGTATAGGCAAAGAAGTCACAAAATTATTTGCATAAACAAAAATTCCAATAGGCAAAAGCTAAAAAAAACATTATTTCTGTCAAATAAAGAACACCCAACTCCAATTAGCACAACATCATATCAATTTTCTACATAATTGCAATCTTGCCCCTAACCTCCAACCCAAAAATACTATCACCGGAAGAAGAAAGTAGATTTCATAACTCTAGAATTAAATGCTTGTTGTGGACCAAACTACTGCCTGCAAACAAATCCCCAATAAAGAAAGGGATTAACCTTCCAATTACAGGCCCCAATTTCAAATGTAAATTCTGGGCAAATTTAGACCTCTCACTACCAATTATATACATCAACAGATCCATTGAAGATCTCCCACAGCGGCACAGCTACGACGACTGCTCATTCAATATCAACTAAGCCATAGAAGAAGAATGTCGATCATAGCTATTTTGCTGCTATATTTTCTCTTCTTCATATCTCTATGGTGCTCGATAGCATATCTATCCAATAGCAAAAGCGCTTCCGTCGTCGAATGGCCGGTGGTGGGCATGCTTCCGGCCCTGCTTTGGAATGCAACCACTGATCTCCACGGATTCGTCGATCGAGTCGTGAAAGAGAGCGGCGGCATGTTCGTGTTTAAAGGGACATGGTTTGCCAAGCTGGACTTCGTCGTCGCCAAGCTGCTCCCTCGGCAGCGCAAACTACCTCGTCGCCGCGGCTTCGGCACTCCGAAAACAAAGCTCCACTTAATGCACGACTCCGGCAGCGAGTTCTCGTGGGTGAATGACCGCCAGCCCGGCGAAATCGACAACTGTTTCGACCCTCGACCCTCGATCCTCTTTTACCTTCTCCAGGGACGTCCGTGCTTGATCGTTTGGATTGGCATCGATCGACGGTGGCGGCGGCAGCAGCGCTAGAAGAAAGAAGAAACGAAGAAAGAAGACAGTGAGATCTGAAGGATTGGGGATCGGAAGAGAAAGACAGAGAAATACGTTTTTCTTCCTTCTTTATTCTATCTTTTATTTTTTAATTTTTTTGTAATATTACCCTTATACCCTTGTTGTTATAGTAACAACAAAAAGGGTGTTGTTATTCTATCCGAGCCCAGAACTTTTGGTTCTTTCCGTTAGTCTTATAACACATGTATTTTTTTCCTTTAATGATAACATTTCTTTTTTCTTTATTTTATTGTGTATCAAATAAGTTAAAATTAAAAGATAAAAGAAAGAAAAAATGTTAATTGAATCATTGAATTCCAGACTAGTCTAGATAAATTGCTCGAAGTTCTTGAGTAGAAGCTATTTTTAATAGAGAGAACAACTCTAGTTATCTACGAAACTCCTAGATCGAAGAAATGAATAGCCAAAGAAAAAATAATTTCACTGTAGTGACATGAACGATAATACGATTAATGCAAAAAATACATGTATAGGCTAAAGCCTAAAACCCTAAAACTAATAATTAACCCCTAGAATGATGATGATAACAAGCAAGCCAACTAACAATTTTGATAAAACAATGGCGCACGAGGATGGCTAGCAATCGTGTCTTGTGGAGATATATAGCAGTGATCATTTCATGCCCCTAATCGTACTCATCTCGGATTGATTTATAAGAAGCTTTCGATCATCTGGTAGACAAGAGAGAGCGTTGGGTAATAAAGCTTGTGGTTTCGATATTTTCAATAATGCTCAGGATACTCGAATGTGCCTCCTAACACTATACCACCAATCCTTTCAAAATCCTCCCTAAAACTGCATCCGTTAAACCAATTATTCAACCCCGGTAGTAGTTTCGTACAGATAAATAAAACTATAATTGGTAATTCGGGACATCTCTAAAATTTGAAAAAAAAAACGATTATCATACTTTCGATAGTAGTTTGCATATTAAAAAATATAAGCGGTAGTATGTGTTATTCAAACCTAGGACACTACTATTATTAAACATATTCTCCATTAGATTGCAACTCATTTGTTGTTTGATTTTAAACACTATGCAATAGTAAAAATGCTATAAAGCAAGTGTTTAATTGTAAATATATTCTCAACTATTTCAAAACCTAACAATTAAACTAATTATAGGCTACCCTCAATTTGAATTGATTTTACAGTTACACGACAAGTGTTGAAAGAGTCTTTTCAACTTTGAGTTACATCAAGAACAAGGTTAGAAATCGAATATGCGATCAGTTCGTCAATTATTGTCTAGTAGCAGATTTGTTGAGCAGTGTAGACACAGAGTCTATTTTATATTCTCTTTTTTTAGAATAGAAACACGTTGTGGACTTTTGTGAAAATTTGTACTAGTGGAATATTTTCTGATTTATGAATTATTTATTTTTAATTTTTAATTTAATTTATTTTAGAAAAAGAACATCCTATAAAAAATTTATGGAACCGCCACTGGGTTTAGTTGCCAGTCAGGATGAGAGGAAGAAAACTCTGGTCGTCCGATCTAGTTAAAGATATAAAGAGCGACAAAACCGGATGACATAAACCCAGTACCCCACATCAAAGCCAATCCTAGGTCGCCAAGCTCTAATTCTACAACCTAGCCCGCCCAACCCAACCATGCCCAATTGAATCCATTCCTCCCTAAGGCCATGCTGCTCACAACATAATTTGTGAGTTGTTGTTCACACGGCCGGATTGGTGGCAAATCCAAGTGTTGGGAATTAGAAATCTCGAGGGAACAAAATTGAGTTCTAAATTAAAATATCGCAATAGAAAAGTTGTTGAATGATGTGAATGAGCGAGATGATGTTCATGAGAAAATATCTCGAGAGAGTGGAATGGTTTTATACTTATGTAGATAGACAAAATTTTGTAGAAAGTTTACGTTAAAATGAAATAAACTCAAACTCATAATCATTTTTATAGAAATATTGAATTGCGTTAAAATAATATCTATTAGAATAATTAAGAAAAAAATATTATTATTTGAATGAGTAAATAATTATAATTACTATTGTTATCATCCTGGGTCGGTTGCATCAGCAGAGGAAAATTAGAAGAAGACAGTTAGTTAAGGTAAGACCTTTCTCTTTGTAATGGGTCTAACAGAAGGGACCGGTTATTGTAACAACACCCATTGTGTTGTTATTGTAACAACACTAGTCCCCAACCAATAGGAAGCTAGGATTGTGATGACTTTTTATTAGATGAGTTGACCTAGTGTAAAATCAAAGCAGGGGTATAATTGTCATTATGAAAAATCTATTTAAATAAAAAAAAGTAAAAAAATAAATAAATAAAAAATATTTTTTTATTTTCTGCCCAAAAATTTGTCATCAAATTCTGCCACCGGTCGCCGGAAAATGGTCGCCGGTCACCGGAATATGCTTCTAGTCACCGGGGCCGGAATATGCCTATCGGCATCGGAATCTGCTCACTGACGGTCAACGGAGTTCGGTCAACG